AGAATAGATATGGAAAGAGAATGAGAGAGAAGAAAGGAAAATCCAAAAGAGAGTCCAGGTAAGCAACTAGAAGGCCAAAACTAGCAGTTGCAGGAATCTTTACCTTAAAATAACGACTTTCTTTCATGCGTCTAATGTAATAAATAAAAAAAACATTTGTTTTACACACTCAAATTTCCTTGTTTGGTTTTCTTTTCTTTTCTCTCATTCCTTTCACCAACTTGGCCTTGGCCTTGGCCTTTCATGTCATCATACTTTCATTTTCTTCGTCCTCATAATTCATCCATACCCTTCTCTCTGCAACTCTCAATTCTTGCAAATCTCAAAAGGCTATAAAGAAAAAAGTTAGAGAGAGAGAGAGAGAGAGAAGGGCACTCAGTCTCTCACTCTCTCACTCTCTCACAGGCACAGCAATAATTCACTTTTCTTTCCAACAAGTCTCTTCTTCTCTCTCTTTATTGCCAGCTCAAAACCTTGTCCTCCCCATACCCTGTTTCTTCTTATCTCTCTCACACACACTAACCAAACCATCATCACGCATTGAGATCTCAGGTACGTCCATTTCCTCTCATCACTCACTCTTTCTCTTCTTATACCCTTCTTATCTCACAATGCTCTTTCTCATCCTTCATCTCATACTTTTTTTCTCATTCACTGTCTTCCCTGCTGATCTGGCTCGGCCCCATATTCTGGTAATTAACTTTGATCGCTTCTTCTTCTTTTTTCCTTTTGTTCTGCTGATCACTGAGGTTTTTGATCTGTTGGGCACCCCTCCTTTTTATACTTTTTAGCTCTTTCATCATCTATCTCATTCTTCTTTTCGTGATCTCACCACTTCTCTGTCCATCTCTGTTGATGTGCATTGCTTTTTGTTTTGTTAATCAAGCTTTGATCAACTCTTGTCTTTTTTGTTAGATTTTAATTGATCAGATAAATGGCTAAATGAGCACTAGATCTTAGTAGTCATCTTTGTGGCAACAAATCAAGTTGATCCCCTACATTATGATCCAGAATTCTTCATTTGTTTCGGCTTAGTTGCAGTGATTGGTGTTTAATTGTCAGCTCAGAATCAGATCAAGTGTGTTCTCTAAATCCCTTGATCTTTAGTAAAAACAATTAAGTGAACGAATCTTATCCAGTGCATAGCTATGGCGATCATGAACTATTTTTCTGATCTTAGATAGCTTGGATTTCAGAAACTGAAATTCGGAATGCTGAATCTATTTGGTTATTTATGACTCGGACTTGATTTGAAACACGTTATGTGAAGGAGCAAGCCGTGAAAGACCAATATATTGGCTGAACTCTTTGCAGCTATTCAAATGTAGAGTGCTTCAATCTGATAGAGCTGCTGCCAGTTTGCAGTACCCACCTAATTGGAGTAGTGAACAATGTGACAAGTTGGATTTAATCAATAAACAGTGGATATTTTATCTCACTGAGAAGGGCTGTGCTAGAAGATCTTCTGGAGAATGTAAATTGGAAGGAGAAATTTATATTTATCTTGTAATTGTGAGAGAAGATTACTTAAAAATTGAAACAAGATATCTCGTGCATTGAGAGCATTAGTATTCAGATTCATTGTATAGGCTGGAGTCTAACCAAACCATGTAATCATAGTAATTTGGAAATTGTATACTGTCATGATACTAAATAGAATGTCAGGTTAAAGCCTTATATGATGCTAGTCCTGAAGTAGGCTAGCTCACAAATTTTATACCATAGATTCAGTGCATGTATAGTAATGCAACCTTAATTTGAGAGGACTGAAATATATGTTCCAGCAACTATACGTAAGTGTTTGAGTTGTGGATATGATTTTTCGAGTTATAACTCTACTTAAGTAGTAAGTTTTGCTTTCTTCTAATATACAGCACAATGACACTGCTAAGTATATCCAATCAAACTTTACCTTCTGTTCTGGTAGCTGCTCCCATTTTGGTGGAATCAAATTATACTATTTCTTAACAGCATGTCCCTTCTACTTTTAGAGTCACCAAACATAGAATACAACAACCTATATCCTGTTCTAATGTATCTACTAAATGCCACTGAAATTGTTGCTGCTGCTGTTCTTCATGCTTGATAGTGATACTTAATTTTCTCTGCTAAAACATTCTTAACTCTGTTTCCTCTGATGCAGTGGATTACTTTGGAATTTGCAGGTGTTAGCTGAAAAGACAGTATTTTAGAAGGAATTTTCAGCCATGTCTAGTGCTACAAAAGTGTTGGATCCAGCATTCCAGGGAGTTGGTCAAAAAGTGTATCCTTAAATAAAGGGGTGAATTCTAAAAGAAATCATGAAAAGTAGAATTTTTTTCATTTAAATATCGAATAAGAATTAAGTAAAAAGGCTACAAAAAGTTTAATAATAAAGAAAGAAAAATAGTGCTAAGAGAACGACCAAGCATTTTGATATGATTTTCGGTATAATCATTGCTGTTCAGGTTATATTGTTATATACTGAATGAATTATCTACTTGAGGGGTTTTTAGACTTAACCTTTTCGTAGAGGAACTGAAATATGGAGGATTGAGAATTTTCAACCAGTTCCATTGCCTAGATCTGAATATGGGAAATTCTACATGGGAGATTCTTACATCATCTTGCAGGTGCAAGCTGTATCCAATATTATTATCTCCTATATTTTCATACATTACTCAAACTTACTCAAACTTATTTGCAGACAACACAAGGCAAAGGAGGGGCTTATTTTTATGATATTCACTTCTGGATTGGAAAGGATACAAGTCAGGTATGTTTGGACTTTCACCCCGCCCTACTTCAAACTCTCTTATTCCATTCTGCTTCTCTTAATAGAACAAAGAGGTGACTAAAATGTTGGAAGTTGTAATGTTATGTTTTGTAAGATAAGATATTGCTTCAAGTTTTGTGATTATGTTTCCTTACAGTTTTATTCCTTTTTTTCTCTGGTTTTAATGTAGGTTTATATGTGATGGTTCATAGTATGGAAAATCTTGAACCAGTATATTTTTACAATAGAATAATCTCTATTGACATGGTGGTTTTCCTTACAGGATGAAGCTGGAACAGCAGCCATTAAAACTATTGAACTTGATGCATCTCTTGGAGGACGTGCAGTGCAACACAGGGAAATTCAAGGATATGAATCAGACAAATTTTTGTCATACTTTAAGCCATGTATAATACCATTAGAGGGTGGTGTCGCATCTGGATTTAAAAAACCTGAAGAAGAGGAGTTTGAAACACGTTTGTATGTATGCAGAGGAAAACGAGTTGTCAGAATAAAACAGGCACAGTTTTCTTTATTCGTGTACTTCATAAATTCAGTGCACACATTCATTGATTAAAAATGTCACACAAGTTTTCCTTATGCAGGTCCCTTTCGCACGGTCTTCTCTGAATCATGACGATGTGTTCATCCTAGATACTCAGAATAAGATTTATCAATTCAATGGTGCTAACTCCAATATCCAGGAAAGAGCCAAGGCTCTGGAAGTTATTCAGTTGTTGAAGGAAAAGTATCATGAAGGAAAATGCGATGTTGCAATTGTTGGTAAGGGCACAAGTCACTTGTTTTCGTATCACTTACTGAGAAGCCTACCATGTGGTTTTAAATACTTGTTCTTCAAGTGGTATTTTGATTTTGTCTGTGACTGTAAGATGTATACCACATTACAGATGATGGCAAGCTGGATACTGAGTCAGATTCAGGTGAATTTTGGGTTCTCATTGGTGGTTTTGCTCCCATTGGGAAGAAGGTAATTGGTGAGGATGATATTGTCCCAGAGGCCATTCCTGCTCAACTTTATAGGTATAGGTCCATCAATCTTCCTGATTGCAGTAGAAAACTGTGTATTATACTTACATTTTAAAAAGGGCTGTTGGTCAACGATGTCTTCTGGAATTTTTGTTCCTTTCATTTATGAATTTCATATCTTATCGTCTCCTTTCTTTATGTCACCTTAGTGTAAAATTTGATCCACTGTTGCAGTTTAGGCAGCAGATGGGTTGCTGAGAGAAGATCATTCTATATTTAGTGTTGAATACGAATGTATTCTCTTGAGACATCAAGAGATGCATATATGGATTCAAACTAGGTTTTTTGGAATTCTTCTAATTTTGTCTGAAGTTAATTATTTTCTGCTAAATATGTTATAACCTTAATCTTTCTTGTTTCANAAAAATTGAAACAAGATATCTCGTGCATTGAGAGCATTAGTATTCAGATTCATTGTATAGGCTGGAGTCTAACCAAACCATGTAATCATAGTAATTTGGAAATTGTACACTGTCATGATACTAAATAGAATGTCAGGTTAAAGCCTTATATGATGCTAGTCCTGAAGTAGGCTAGCTCACAAATTTTATACCATAGATTCAGTGCATGTATAGTAATGCAACCTTAATTTGAGAGGACTGAAATATATGTTCCAGCAACTATACGTAAGTGTTTGAGTTGTGGATATGATTTTTCGAGTTATAACTCTACTTAAGTAGTAAGTTTTGCTTTCTTCTAATATACAGCACAATGACACTGCTAAGTATATCCAATCAAACTTTACCTTCTGTTCTGGTAGCTGCTCCCATTTTGGTGGAATCAAATTATACTATTTCTTAACAGCATGTCCCTTCTACTTTTAGAGTCACCAAACATAGAATACAACAACCTATATCCTGTTCTAATGTATCTACTAAATGCCACTGAAATTGTTGCTGCTGCTGTTCTTCATGCTTGATAGTGATACTTAATTTTCTCTGCTAAAACATTCTTAACTCTGTTTCCTCTGATGCAGTGGATTACTTTGGAATTTGCAGGTGTTAGCTGAAAAGACAGTATTTTAGAAGGAATTTTCAGCCATGTCTAGTGCTACAAAAGTGTTGGATCCAGCATTCCAGGGAGTTGGTCAAAAAGTGTATCCTTAAATAAAGGGGTGAATTCTAAAAGAAATCATGAAAAGTAGAATTTTTTTCATTTAAATATCGAATAAGAATTAAGTAAAAAGGCTACAAAAAGTTTAATAATAAAGAAAGAAAAATAGTGCTAAGAGAACGACCAAGCATTTTGATATGATTTTCGGTATAATCATTGCTGTTCAGGTTATATTGTTATATACTGAATGAATTATCTACTTGAGGGGTTTTTAGACTTAACCTTTTCGTAGAGGAACTGAAATATGGAGGATTGAGAATTTTCAACCAGTTCCATTGCCTAGATCTGAATATGGGAAATTCTACATGGGAGATTCTTACATCATCTTGCAGGTGCAAGCTGTATCCAATATTATTATCTCCTATATTTTCATACATTACTCAAACTTACTCAAACTTATTTGCAGACAACACAAGGCAAAGGAGGGGCTTATTTTTATGATATTCACTTCTGGATTGGAAAGGATACAAGTCAGGTATGTTTGGACTTTCACCCCGCCCTACTTCAAACTCTCTTATTCCATTCTGCTTCTCTTAATAGAACAAAGAGGTGACTAAAATGTTGGAAGTTGTAATGTTATGTTTTGTAAGATAAGATATTGCTTCAAGTTTTGTGATTATGTTTCCTTACAGTTTTATTCCTTTTTTTCTCTGGTTTTAATGTAGGTTTATATGTGATGGTTCATAGTATGGAAAATCTTGAACCAGTATATTTTTACAATAGAATAATCTCTATTAACATGGTGGTTTTCCTTACAGGATGAAGCTGGAACAGCAGCCATTAAAACTATTGAACTTGATGCATCTCTTGGAGGACGTGCAGTGCAACACAGGGAAATTCAAGGGCATGAATCAGACAAATTTTTGTCATACTTTAAGCCATGTATAATACCATTAGAGGGTGGTGTCGCATCTGGATTTAAAAAACCTGAAGAAGAGGAGTTTGAAACACGTTTGTATGTATGCAGAGGAAAACGAGTTGTCAGAATAAAACAGGCACAGTTTTCTTTATTCGTGTACTTCATAAATTCAGTGCACACATTCATTGATTAAAAATGTCACACAAGTTTTCCTTATGCAGGTCCCTTTCGCACGGTCTTCTCTGAATCATGACGATGTGTTCATCCTAGATACTCAGAATAAGATTTATCAATTCAATGGTGCTAACTCCAATATCCAGGAAAGAGCCAAGGCTCTGGAAGTTATTCAGTTGTTGAAGGAAAAGTATCATGAAGGAAAATGCGATGTTGCAATTGTTGGTAAGGGCACAAGTCACTTGTTTTCGTATCACTTACTGAGAAGCCTACCATGTGGTTTTAAATACTTGTTCTTCAAGTGGTATTTTGATTTTGTCTGTGACTGTAAGATGTATACCACATTACAGATGATGGCAAGCTGGATACTGAGTCAGATTCAGGTGAATTTTGGGTTCTCTTTGGTGGTTTTGCTCCCATTGGGAAGAAGGTAATTGGTGAGGATGATATTGTCCCAGAGGCCATTCCTGCTCAACTTTATAGGTATATGTCCATCAATCTTCCTGATTGCAGTAGAAAACTGTGTATTATACTTACATTTTAAAAAGGGCTGTTGGTCAACGATGTCTTCTGGAATTTTTGTTCCTTTCATTTATGAATTTCATATCTTATCGTCTCCTTTCTTTATGTCACCTTAGTGTAAAATTTGATCCACTGTTGCAGTTTAGGCAGCAGATGGGTTGCTGAGAGAAGATCATTCTATATTTAGTGTTGAATACGAATGTATTCTCTTGAGACATCAAGAGATGCATATATGGATTCAAACTAGGTTTTTTGGAATTCTTCTAATTTTGTCTGAAGTTAATTATTTTCTGCTAAATATGTTATAACCTTAATCTTTCTTGTTTCAACCTTTTCTTTTACTTAATACTTTAGCAGTATATATATTTCCTTTTTAGTTCATGTTTTATGGTATGTGCATTGTGCATTTATGTTTCTTGATCTGAAGGATGTGACCTTTTGTTTGTAGTATTGCTGATGGTGAGGTCAAGCCTGTAGAAGGTGAACTTTCAAAATCACTGTTGGAGAACTACAAATGCTATCTATTGGACTGTGGCGCTGAGGTATTTGTCTGGGTGGGCCGGGTAACACAAGTTGAAGAAAGAAAAGCAGCATGTCAAGCAGCTGAGGTAATGCCATTGCAAAAATCATTTCTTCATAAGTTGGTTTGAAGTGGAGTCATTAAATTTACTAATATATTCAGGAGTTTGTTGCAAGTCAAAAAAGGCCAAAATCTACAAGGATTACCAGAATTATTCAAGGATATGAAACACATTCATTTAAGTCCAACTTTGACTCTTGGCCATCAGGGTCTGCAACTACCAGTGCTGATGAAGGAAGAGGAAAAGTTGCAGGTGAATATTATTTCTTCACACTTATAATTTGGCTTGGCCTTTTGTCCAATCATTAATGCTAACTATGAAAGGTGTTTTTGCACTGTCAGCTTTGCTGAAACAACAAGGTATGGGTGTGAAAGGCGCGGCAAAAAGTACCCCAGTTGTTGAAGAAATTCCACCTATGCTTGAAGGAGGCGGAAAGATGGAGGTGATTTTATAATTTTTTTATTAGTTTCCCTGTATAATTAAACTAATGCTAGTGCACATGTGATATTGTTTAATGTATTTCCAGGTATGGCAAATCAATGGAAGTGCTAAGACTCCATTACCTAAGGAAGATATTGGTAAATTCTATAGTGGAGATTGTTACTTAGTGCTCTACACTTATCACTCTAGCGAGAGGAAGGAAGACTACTATTTGTGCAGTTGGTTTGGAAAAGACAGTGTTGAGGTAATTCAATTGCTTGAATTTGAGCACTAAATATAGTGATAATTATAATAATTTGTTTGCTTTAACTCTACAGTGTTACCTATTGTCAAGACTGGCCTAGAATTTACTTGCTTGGCCAAAAATGTTATTTCTATGTGAACTTTCATTGCCTAAGATTCTGTGGTTATGATAATATTCTGTATGCAGAACAGCACTATTAGAAACAGACAATAAGTCTCTTGGCTATGTTTAAGGATAAAAATTTATCATTTATAGAGGTGATCAAAATATGCTGTGTCAATAAACTTATTAATTTATGTGATTGTGTCTAAGTGGTTGACATTCCATATCAAGCTAGCAATATGTGTGCGTGTGTGACCTGCTGTATTTGGTTGCAACCCGATAAGTTCTTCTACTCTTTAATTTTTTTCGACAAAAATCCATGTATTTCTGAATCATGATTGTTTGGCTGAAAAAAAATAAGATTGTTGAAGACCAGGCATCAACAGAATAAAACCAGATTGTTACCAAGTCTGGATCAAAGAAAATAATTAGAAAGCTATGTGAGAATGAAACACAGTGCAAACAAATAAGCCTAATACAACAAAATTATCTAATCATGAAGACTCCTATGAAGAATATGTGCAAGAAAAACAAAAGAGGCTGTGCAGGAATCCCTTTTCCGAAGTAAATTAAGTATGGATTTCACATTTACAATCCAAACACTGTTCATTAAAGCTAATGATTTTCCTTTTGTTCTCTTTCTTGTCTTTGTAGCATAATATTTATCACATGGAAGTGTTTTGGAGGGAGAGGAAGGATTTTTGGTTAGGAATAAAGTTCTCACGATCCCCAAAATAGATTCTTTTGGTATAAAACACTCATAAATAGTATATATTTGTGCATCAGTAAATTGAGCTTCTTTCTACAGTTCAATATTTTAATATCTTAACCTAATAATCTTGATGGTGTTCTTTGACAACTTTGTATCTTTCATGACTCGTGTCTTGGCACACTAGAATCTCTTACATGGAAATACTTAGATTGCAACTTGCTTTTTTACTAATAATATTAATCCAAGTCATCGTTTTTCATCTCCAAAACACGTGATATAACCATGTTTCTCTTTGTCTTCAAGAATATGATATAACAATGTGACTTGGTTATGTCCTATTTTTCAGGAGGACCAAAGGATGGCTATTCGATTGGCTACTACAATGTTCAACTCATTAAAGGGTAGACCTGTTCAGGTACCCTTAATGTGAATACCATGTCGGGGATGTTGCCTGGAAAATGTGTTTAATTGTGATAGTTTCTTGTAGGGTCGCATATTTGATGGTAAAGAGCCACCACAGTTTATTGCTCTTTTCCAACCAATGGTGGTCCTCAAGGTATCATTTGTCAAATCCAATGTTAATTTATTGACATATATAGATAGTGTGAGGTTAATTAGTTTAACTTAATTATGTCTGATTCAGGGAGGCTTGAGCTCTGGTTACAAAAAATTTATAGCAGATAAAGGCTTGCCAGATGAGACATACACAGCTGACAGTGTTGCACTTATTCGAATTTCAGGAACATCTCCTCATAATAATAAAGTGGTGCAAGTAGATGCAGTATGTCCCCATAAAAATTAAATTACTCACTTTTTGTCCACTGTGTTTATGTTGGTAGGGCTTCTCTTCTCTACTAGCTGATCGTAATTATGGTATTCTTGTTCAGATTGCAGCATCGTTGAATTCTACCGAATGCTTTGTTTTGCAATCTGGCTCAGCTGTTTTCACTTGGCATGGGAATCAATGCTCCCTAGAGCAGCAGCAGCTTGCAACAAAAGTTGCTGAATTTTTAAAGGTAAACCTTACTAAAACTTCTTTCCTGCTATCTTTCTTGGAGGGGATTTTACCGTCTCCATAGTAGAGTATTTCACCATTTTTCTGCATATACTAAAAAACAAGGTTAACTTTATTGAAGGGTATTAGCTCAAAGTTGTGTTTGTTCCACTGCAT